TGGCCAACCCTTACCCCTTAGGGGTAGTAAAAATAGATATTGGCTCTGATCTCAATCATATTGAACGTGATTATAAAATTTAATAAAAATTGGTCAAACCTTTACATAAGAGATATATCATTATACATATATCGTGATATATGATATGTCATTATACATATTTTGGTAAGTTCCGGCAATTCCCTTAAATTACATATATTTTAGTTAAATTATAAAATATTGATTCGTCATCAAATATCATTTAGTTTCCAATAATAATTATAAACAAGAAAAACAACAATAGATAGCAAAATGAAAATGAACAAGTCATCGTGGATATTAGAACAGTGTTTATCAAACACCTGTTCATGGGCTAAAATACATAATTAAAACGTTTTGTCATACAAATTTAATAGAGAACTAGTGGTGCATGGCATCGTGCCTTAAGGCAAATTACTGGAACTTCCAGTACCGTAATAAAATATTCGAGGAATAATTATAATTTTTTTAATATGTATTTATTAGAGACAATTTTGTTTGTTTTATAAATAGTTTTTGATCGTATTAGATAATTCGCTTATCACACGATAAGAATGATAATGAGGTTGTAACAATTTTATAATAATAATGAAACATAATTCCATAAATGATAATTGTTAAAATACTTAATCATACAAAAAATAAAACTTCATGCTTATCTATAAATATATTTTGTGAATAAACAAATACTTTTATTAATTATAATATATTTTTAATAATGTGTTATATTAATATAATTAAACTGTTGTGTTCAAAAACTAATAATTATTTTAAGTTTTCTTATATTTTAACGTAAAATACTATAATTTCTTCTAAAATTTTTAGAGTGTAGCAAAAATTTGAACAAAACTTGTTTTACTTCATTTTTATTATTACATTTTATTTGTCAGATATAGTCAAGTTCAAAACCAAATTAAACACAGTAATAACCGTATGAAGGCGCTGCCATAGCTTTAGTAAAGTTAAGAACCCTGAAATCCGCCATATTAAAGTTAGTCCTTATTGAAAATAATCATCATTCAAATATATTATAATAAATACAGTCTCTTTCACTATGCTTATTAGGACAAAATATAAAAGCTTAGGAAATATTTTTTGAATATTAAAAAAAAATCTCGTCTCAAAAGCTATCGTTTCGTCAACACAAGCAGAAAGTTTGTTGAATCATCCAACTCGAATGCTTATGTATCTCAAAAACTATCATTTTTACATTTACCTCCGTATCTCCGAAAAGGCTACACCTGCTTTTACTAAAAACTAATCACTTCTTCTCCCAATCATTACAAATTGAATGTTTTTTTTATATCATTCAAATCGGATACTCCTTTCTCTCAAAATTTGTATTTTCTGCACTCTTTGCTCCGTAATTGCTGGACCTACCTTTGCCAAAAACTAATCAGCACTTCTCTCTATCAATAGGAATCGAATATTTTTTTAACCATTCAAATCAGTTGATTAAAAGAAAAAGTTGCTGATTATTAATATGGTTTAATATTTAATATTATAACACCACTCTTTGTGGATCAGAGACAAACAAATAAGCACATTCATAAAGATAAAATAGCAAAAACAAAACAAGTCGACATTTGTGTTATTGTTTCTAACAAATTGATTTATTTCATAAGATACTCTTATAATAGAGCATATTGAGAAAATTATTTTATCTTATATGAAGATATGAAATATTAACTAATATTTAACAAATAAACTGTCAGTATTTTAATTTCGCTAATAAGGACTAACTTCAAGATTATTTTCATTAAGGACTAACTTCAAGATGGCGGATTTCAGGGTTCTTAACTTTACTAAAGCTATAGCAGCGCCTCCATACGGTTATTATTGTGCATAATTTGGTTTTTAACTTGACTATATGCGATAAATAAAATTTAATAATAAAAATGGAGTAAAATAAAAGAGTTAATTTGAGAAAAACAAGTCTTGCTAAAATATTTGCTACATTCTTAAAGTTTTAGAAGAAATTCTAGTATTTTACGTTAAAATATAAGAAAACTTAAAATAATTATTAATTTTTGAACACAATTGTGTTTTAATTATATTAATAATACATTAATATAATAAATTATTAAAAATATATTATAATTTCATTCACTCGTAACAAAAGTATTTGTTTATTTGCAAAATATATTTATAGATAAGCATGGAAATTTATTTTTGTATGATTAAGATAACAATTATCATTTATGTAATTATGTATCATTATTATTATAAAATTATTACAACCTCATTATCATTCTTATCGTCTGATAAGCGAATTATCTAATTTGATAAAAAAAAACTAATTATAAAACAAACAAAATTATCTCTAATAAATACATGTTAAAAAATTATAATTGTGTTTTTCAAAACAAAATATATTAACTTTCGTAAAACTTAAACACTGCGTATACTAAATAGTTAGAGCAGGGGAAGAAAACCTTCATTAAACATCTAACATTCATTTTTTTTATTTTCTTGTCTATCAAATTCCCAAAAAAAGAAGTTATAGTCTTTGTTTGAAAATCCGACTTGCAAAGTTTATGTTTTACCGATGTTTCAAGTCATTCTAAAGCGCTTGAGACCAAATTTTCAAAAACCTTGTGTGTCTGTATGCTGTGACTTTTGTTCGATGTTTTCTCAAAATCGGCTGAACCGATTATAAGAATTTAAAAGCCTTTCGGTAAAACTCGATAAGGACGAAGAATTCTTCAAAAAAGAAATAGCTAAGTCTAACTTCTAGTCTAACTTAAGTCGATTATTTATACATATAGAGATGTTTATGCAACTACCCTTATGGCAAAATGCCACTTACGCCTAGTATATTCACACATCAAGAATAGAAAATGTGCATAATAAAAATAGAAACAATTAAAAAAGTAAAAAATGGAAAAAAAGAAAAAAAAAATAAAAATGATGCAAAAAATCAAAAATTAACCTTTTTGCATATTTAAACGTTTCAGAGGTGTCTGAACATTTTGACATCCCTCAGAAAAACTGATGTATGTGTGTGTGTGTATATCCGTGTGTGTATGTGTACGGATACAAATTTTCGTCGACGATTTCGGAGGCACGAATCAGCCCATTTGAATAATTAAAAAAACATTCGTTTCGTATTGACAAGGAGACGAGCTGATTAGTTTTTGACAGAGGCAGGTCTAGCGGTTCCGAAGATACGGGGTAAAAAGAGCCAAAAAACGTAATTCAGTTTTTGAGAGAACGGAACGTGCGATTTGAATAATTCAAAAAACATTTTATTTGTATTGAAAGGAAAGGTAGGTCCATCGGTTATGGATTCTCAATAAAAAAACGTTAAATGCCATTTGGCGGTCAAAATATTCATTAGACATATGCACATCAAATTATCAGATATAATATAGAGATTTCTATAATGTGTCATTTATTTGTGTTCCGTACCAAGATTTTTAATTTTGAAGTTCATTTATATGGTTCAAACAAATGTCCTCGTCAGTTTGGAATAACCGATTTGTATGATTGAAAAAACATGCGATTCGTTTTCGATCGCGAGGCGTTTTTGCAAAAGGCACGTCTATCCGTTTCGGAGGTATGGAGCGAAGAGGGTGTAAAAACGGTTATGCAGTTTTTGAGAGAACGGATCATCCGATTAGATTAATTAAAAAAAACTCTTACTTGTGTAGACAGTGTGCAAAAAATGGTTTCACAAAAAAAATCGTAATTTTGAAAATGTTAATAAAAAAAAATCAAAATTGTCAAAAAAATCAAAGAAATTTTCCATCATTTTCAGAAAAATCTAAATTTTAAAAAATTTAAAAAAATATCAAAAATTAAAAAAATTGATATCCTACAAAAATATCAAAAATTTCTAAATTTTCAGTAAAATCTAAATTTTAAAAAATTTCAAAAAATATCAAAAATTAAAAAAATTGATATCCTACAAAAATATCAAAAAATTCCAAATTCTCAGAAAATTCAAAAAAATCGATTTTGTTTCAAAGATTCCAAAACAGAACAAACTTTAAAAAAAAAAATCAAAATTTTGAAAAAATTCAAAATTATCAATGAAATCAAATTAAAAAAAAATTTCTTGTAAACATACACATAAGTTGTTTTCAAAATACCCTCGTCGCCCAATTTATTAAGCACTTATAAATTTACAGTATGTTTCCATAACAAATATTCTATTTGAAAGTATCTAAAACAATTATTGATTACTTTCATTCCTCGCTACGGAAAGTTCCAGCAATTTTCCTTAAGCCACGATCCCATACACCAATATTTATTTTTCTGAAGTTGACTATCTCTGCCTATTATGCAATTGTCGTTGGCATTTATTGAACGAGATTATATTAAACGAAGGCGAATATCAGTAGTACTAAGGTCACTTTCAGATACTCATCGACGTCACTTAATAATAAATAGTGTAAGAAAACGATAGTTTGAGAAGTTTTTTGTATGTCAGAAATAGTTTAGGAACTTTTGATATAATTTTCGATTTTTAAAAAATGTTTTTGTAAAAATTGTCCGGTGGAGTGAATGTTTGTTTGAGGTTGAGATGTTGAAGTAGTGGTGTGGATGTTTAAAGTGTAAAGGACCCCAAAAATTAGTGTACTTTAAAATATTAATAAAATTTGTTAATTTATACAGTGTTTTAAATATTAAAAATAGTTAGAAAATATTTAATACAATTTTAGATTTTTGGGATCATTTTTTTAATAAATTATTACATTTATATTTATATAATAAATACTCCATAATAAATAAATCAACCCTCAAGATAATAAATATCTTGTATATAAAAAACTAAAAAATTTTTTAATCTTATAATTTTAAAATATATTTTATGTGATTATATGTTTAACAAAAATAAAAAACTATTTTTTTACAGCTTTCATCCAAATTTTATAAATATGTCCTTTATAAATTAACCAAAGATAGTTTATAAATTACCATTATTTATTTAATAATAAATTATCCAACCATGTTTTTATCAAAAAATTGTTTAATTTTAACAATTTTTGCATTATTTATAATTAACACAAAATGTGATAATAAAGTTGTTAAAAAAAGTGAAACGAAATTCAAAGGAAACATTTTATGTCTGATGACGATTGCGTCACCCAGCCACCATATATGGTAAGAAAAAGTACTTTTTTGAGTATACCGAATTGCAGTAGAGCACTATGATAATACTAATATTATAAAGTATTTAATAGGGTTTGTCGGTTTTCAAAAACCGTTTTTTGGCAAAAATTATGGAATTCGAAAACCGTTTTTTTAGTGAAAAAAGTCGGTTTTCACTGTATAAATGGAAAATGACAAATATAGCCAAATATAAAAGATAGATGAAAGCGATAGCATTTGGAATCTTATCAGTCTGCTTTGGTTCCCAGAATGGTTTTGTGTTATCTTTTGACTAATGTATATTAATTGAGATTTTTTACCAGTGTATATATTAATTTAAATCAGTTTGATTTCTTGAAGAAGTAACTTCCTCTACTCAAACTTAAAAAAGAGAGTTTTAAACCCTAGAAGCTACAAATTAAAGAACAAGAATTATTATATAAGGCTTTAAAAACAATTAACGATAATTTGGTCGCAAGTATGAGAGTATTTTCTATTTCAGTAAATTTTGTGAGTAAACAAAGGACACGTTTTTTGAAATCATATTTTATTAAACAAAAAAAAAACAAATAGAATGTTTAAAATTAATTAATTAAAATTGCTCGGAACAGACAATACCTGAGTTTAGCATAATTGTTTTTAAAACTATAATTGATATTAACAAGTATGTATCAACATGTATCTAATATATTTTTATTTTTTTTATTTAATGATTTTTTTTTATTTAAAAATGTATTATTTTTTTTCATTCGAAAACTTTCCTTTCACTATCATAAAAATATTTTCATTCTTATATATGAAAATTATGCATGAATAACGAATAATTATTTTCAAAGTTATTTAATCAAGATAAACTATTATTTTTTAGCTCTACTAATTAAAATTAAAAAATTTTTTGTTTACTATCTATAAAATTGAACAATAAATAAATTCAGTAAAATACTATTCTAAATTACACTAAATTTGCGGATAATTTACAGAATATTCGAGCAAAAATTTATTTTCTATATAAAATTCGAAAACCGGTTAAAACCAGTTTTTTTAGAAAAATTAAAATTCGAAAACCAGTTTTTTGAAATGTCCGTTTTTGTGTAAACCCTAGTATTTAATTTTGAACAAATTTTTCGAAAACACAGAAGTTATGTAAGATGTTTGAAGTTTATGCAGGTACTTCTTTGAATCATGATAAATTGGATTTTTAGAGAATAATGGTATGATGTTTTATTTTTGGAAAAAGCAGTAGTAGATACTTTAATTTTATACAAGTCCTATACATCATTCATACTAAACAAATAGTTTTGTCTTACAAACAACAAAACAACTCAAATGCTCTCAGCACACTCAAATCAAATATCAATTTTTAAATGCGTTTTTAAATTATACAGAGCAGTTTTAGAATCTTTCGTTGTTAGAAAAAGTGTTAGTTTATTTATTTTAGAAAAAAATTGCCGAAAACGTCACCCAAATTAAGCGAATTGGTCAAAAGTTACAACAGATACAACAAATAAAATAAAAGCACAGATAAGGTACACGCGTGAAGTTGGCTGCGCAAGTACACTTTCGTATCGGAAGCCTCTGGTGTGTAAAAATGAAACTAGTTGTATATCTTTTTACATATAAAAAAGGAGCTCGGTTTTAGGTTAGGTATGGTAAAACACTAAAATGGCTGTACGGGTTTAGTCAGTCTTAGTCTTCGAAATATTCGTGTTAATCCAGAGGTTGTGGGAAAGGTGAGAAATTATTTCAAAACCAGACGCCAGAGCGTATCTAAAAGTTACTTTTAGTCTATGCTTTATTGTAACCAACTTCGTGTTGACGCCATGTTTGTTTAATCAGTTAGTCAAAGGCAAGGTATTAATCCATAATCTGTGTGATAATACGGTTGTGAATGAAAAGTTTAGTATCTAACACAACTCATACGATTATAGACCCGTACTATATAACTTCTATGTTATCTGAGAATTGGCCCATAATGAATCAAATTACTACATAAAAATTAAATTGCTACAATTAAAACCGGAACGTACAAATCAATTATGCACAATCATAATAATTTTTTGAAAGAAACATACCTAGTATTTTTTTAACTTCAAATTTGATGATGACAATGAGCGAAACCGAAATATAAATCTATAAATCAGTTTTCCTTTCTATTAACATTGGACTCCTCTGGGGATTAATGGCTAGAGCCGTGGGATTTCAATTAAAAGTTTCATGTTCGATACCCGCCTCGGACAACCTGATGTCCAGCAGCAGTGACATCGGTTTTAGCCTGAAAATATAGATAGCAATATGTTTACAAGTGAAAATAGACCTCGCCTCATTGTTGCATTAATAAAAAGTTCATCAAAATTTTAGAAATTGTAATAATAAAATTTATTAATTAGAGATAGGTCAGCCGTTTGGGTTGCCATTCGTTACTAGATATATTATGATTAGTCCAGTCATTTAAGCTTGAGTTAAGTAAGAATCTCGGAATTCGAGATACCCAACTGTGAGTCTGTAAATACTTGTATCTTGACGCCCTAAAGTTGTCTCAAAACCTACATATGATAGAGTGTCAATACCATATGTAGGTTTTGAGACAACTTTAAGGTGTCAATATACAAGTATTTACAGACTTACAGCTGGGTATCTCAAATTCCGAGGTGTACTTACTATAATGACTGGACTAGATTGCTTTTATTAATATGTAAAAAATAACATCAATAATTTCTAATAATTATTATTTTTTCTTCCAGGAATCGTTCATTAATGGAAGCCTTAGCGGCCAAAGGCTACAACATAACAGCCTTAAGCGTCGACATAGACAAAGAGCCAGCGGCCAACCTGCACTACATTCTCATAGAAGACGTTTACAAAGCCCTCTACGAAGAAGAAAACTTCGACCTGATCGAATACGCCTCTCTAGGAATCTACTCCAGCATCTCCGACCTCATGAAATACTTTGCCATCTCGAACCGCGCCATTTTGAGATCTCAGGGTCTCCAAACCCTCCTACGCTACCCCAATGATTTCCACTTCGACTTGGTAATATACGACTACAGCTCCTTCCCAAGCATCCTTGGTATCCTCCAAAAATTCAACAACCCTCCCGTGGTTGGCGTCAGCGCTTTCATGAACCCTCCAAACACCTACGACGCATCTGGCAACCCCATTTTTGCCTCTTTGAAACCTTACTATGCAACCACCTTCACGCCTGTGATGAATTTCTGGGAGAGGTCCTTGAATCTGTTCTACTACGTGGTCGATAATTGGGCGAGGAAGAAGGATGTGGAGGGTGCACAGGAGCTGATGGAGAAGGTTTTTGGAAAAAGCGCTGGAAACGCAAGGGAGTTGGAGAGGAGGATCGAGTTGTTTTTGGTCAACGTGCATCCTTCGATAGATGTTCCTGAACCGCTGCTGCCTAACGTCATACCTGTCGGGGGGTTACAGGTTAAGCAACCTAAAGAGGCACCACAGGTAAGGGGAAAAATAATACAAATATAATTCATAATCAATACACCTTCAAATAATGATTCTGACTCGATAAATCCTGATCATGAAAGCTTATTGATTTATTATATCTCTTGCAACTTTTAAACTATTCTATTGTTATGAATGATATCAGACAAATTTATACAAAAGTTAGGGACCGATTCTGACGCATGACAGACAAATGTTATGGCAAGGCCATGTTATAATGAGCTTTCCAAACTAAATATTGACTAAAGCTATGTGGTTGCTGTGCATTCACATGTTTTTCTCGAGTTGTCAGATAGAAAATTTAACCTAGAAACCGCACAAATGCAAAAAAAACGATCTTAGGTAATAGAGTCTTTCTGACCCAGCTTCACAACATACGAGTGACGCAGCAGTTCATGTGTAAAACGCCTGAATGCACAGCAAATACATGACATATTAACTGTATTCAATATGATTCAGTAGCATAATGTATGCAAGTCGGAGCGTAACATGGCCTTGCCATAACATTTTTCTGTTATCCGGCAGAATCGTTCCCTTAATTTTGTACAGCATTGCCATTTTACACATTCTATTAACAGCAGCATTTGTTTTTTTTTAGGACATCAAACGGTTCATAGAGTCTTCCAAAAAGGGGGCCGTTCTGTTCAGCCTCGGTTCAAATGTTAAGAGCGAAATGTTAGGAGACGAACGTATTCGAATGTTCATAAAGGCGTTTGCAAAATTCCCCGATTATCACTTTTTATGGAAATTCTCCAACAAGGACAAATTGGATTTGCCTAAAAATGTCTTGCTGCAAGACTGGATGCCTCAAAACGACATATTAGGTAATACAAAATTATCAAGATCAATTAAATTAATGATAAAAACTGTTGGGAAATTGTTGGAACTATAATCAATTTCCAATTTCCAGGGCACCCGAAAACTGTTCTCTTTATGACCCATGGTGGTCTCTTGAGCACCCAGGAGTCTCATTGGCACGGGGTACCCATGTTGGGAATACCATTCTTCGCAGATCAACATACGGTATGATAATTTAATCATATTTTATCAAATTAATGTCCTGAAAAAGAAGTTATAGGATCCTTGCCAATTTTATTTTTTTCTCGACGTTCGAAGTAGTTCTAAATCGTTAGACACCAAAATTGGCAAAAGTATGCGTTTGTAATTGTACTTTTGACCCTGTATCAAAAAAGTCGTCGATTTAAAAACTTTAGAAATCATTCGATAAGAATTCGCTTTCATTAGTTTTGCGCAACGATTGATTTCTTTATATGAGAAATTTCTTTAATTAAATTTCTCCAAGAGGCTATTTCTTTATAAATAGCAAATTTCTTTATAAATAGCAAGCAAATATGCATCAGTGCGAAATAGTCGATGTTTTTGCCAAAAACCATGAACCAAATTAAAAAATTTCAAAAATTGATTGAAACATATTAGTTGGAAATCGTGCTGATAGTTTTTTTTAGGCGCTCATGCAACTTGCCACTTACACCTGCACTTTTTGTTTATAAAAATAAAACAAATTAAATGCATTTGTAATAAAAAAAAATATTAAAGTAACGCTTACCATGCATATCCAAACCTAAATTAAAATGTATGGGCAAGCGTTTTGTTAGGCTAGGACTACATGGCAAGTGGACGTGATTTTTTTTTAGAATTTAATCTATCTGTCGAACAAAATGATTATGTATTTATTGCAAAAACTTTGCTAGTTCCAAATCCCAATTGGTATTAAATTTTAGAAATGCTAAATCCTAATTGTAATTGATTATGTCTATTAAATTATTTACACATTCAAGGGAGGACCAATAAACTTGTTTGTTTTAAGACAAAATGCCACTTACACCTAGTTATACACATTTGTTTTTATTTGCAGAATATGAAACGTTCGATAGATGCTGGAGTAGCTGAAAAATTGGACATCTTTAATTTATCTGAGGAAGCTATCATTGCCAAATTGTCGAGGATGCTTTCTGAACCCAGGTAACAACAATAATTTTTTTTTTTTGGCAAAACAGTATGCCGGGTCAGCTAGTGTATATATATATATACTAGCTGACCCGGCATACTGTTTTGCCATAAAAAATATTTTTAGTATAAAATGTTTAGCATGATAATAACTAACAGATTACAAATGTGGTGCAAGGAGCAAGGTAACAAAAAATATACGAATAGTTTACCCACTGCAAAACACACCTCATATAAATGTTCTTTGATAGTCTTTGCCAGTGTCAACCTAATCTGAAACTGATTATGTTTAAATAAATTGGCACATATAAAGTTTTTATATAGACATACCGCAATGCAAAATGAAAATAAAATTACAACAAAAATATGGACAACTATTTTCAGAAGAAGGAAACATTCGCAAAACTCTAGGATGTAAGTTTATACAAATTTTAAATTGTCGAAAAGCAAAAAGAAGAGATTCTAAAAGTTTATTAATACTAAAAAAAATTTAAATAAATAAATAACTAAATAAAACATGATTCTGCAAATCTTCGGTTAACTTTTTTTCCCAAATTCCTTATAATGAAATGCTTAGTATGTTTATGAAATGTGTGTTTAAATTTACTCATGTATGCTGAAGTTTTGAATTAGTTTGGATTTTTATAATTATAAATTGACTTATTCATTTATTTAAAAATATATTGAGAATTTTTCTACTATTTAATATTAATTAAAACATTGCAATCCACTTTAGTAACAGTTAGGAAATGAATCTTTAGCGGTTTTGAAAAAAAGGAAACTAAAAGAATTATCAAAATTAAAAACTAAAAAAAACTAGTGGTGTATGGCATCGTGCCTTAAGGCAAATTGCTGGAACTTCCCGTATCATAATGAAATATTCAAAAAATAAAATTTAGTTAAAAAGCAATGTTTTAGAAAAAAATTGAAACAATTTTTCCCCCCAAAAGTAATCTTTTCGTCAAAAACTGTACTGTACATTTAGCTGTGAATCTCCGAAATAGCTGGACCTACCTTTGCCAAAAATTAATCACCACTTCTCCCCATCATTACGAATTCAAAAATTCGAATCGGATGCTCCATTCTCTCAAAAATTTGATTTCTATTTTCTGCATCTTCTGCTCTGTAACTCTCAAACGGCTGAACCAACATTTGTCAAAAACGAATCAGCACATCTCTCTATCAATAAGAATCGAATACGCACACGAACACACACACACATACATACAATTTTTTTCTAAAGTATGACAAAATGTTCAGAAACCTTTAAAACGTGGAGAAATGCAAATATTTGTTATTGTAATCATCCAAAAATCAAAATTGAAAACTTTTGCATATCTTCACGTTTTCAATGGCGGTCCAGCCGTTTGGGAGTTACAGAGCAAAAGGTGCAGAAAATAGAAATCGAGTTTTTGAGAGAACAGAGCATCCGATTTGAATGATTCAAAAAACATTCAATTCGTAATGATAGAGTGAAGTGGTGATTAGGTTTTTGCAAAGGCAAGTTCAGCCGTTTCGAACATACGGAGCTAGATGTGCAAAAAATTGCAATTTTTGAAAGTAATAAGCATCCGATTTGAATGATTCAAAAAACTATCTGCTTCTGATATTTTTTTTTAATTTTCACAAAATATTTTTTTTAATGTCGAAAATTGTTCGAATTTTAATTTCAATTCTGTCTAAAGTTCTAAAGCTCACTTATATACTTAAAATAAATCATTTTAACTTTTCAATTCGGTTTATATAATTCTTAAAAATATTAGACAATGTCCTTCGTGTTAAATTCGATTGATTAAGTTTTACTTACATTTTGCGTTTTATTTTATTTTTTGTAAACACATAGAAGTTGCAGTATTTACAATGATATATTTGAAAACATTTAATAAATTCAAATACTTCGTTTGCCTTTACTTGCTGGAAGTTCCAGCAACTTGCCTTAAGGCACATCAACTGGAACTGCAAAGAAGATGAAGTAGATTAAATGAACCCTTTACAAAAAAAATAGACCGGATAGTTTATCATCAGATGGTATTATTATAAAGATAATAAAAAACTGTTAATGCATATGATTATAGACCCATAAATTAATCAAAAATTGGCCCACAAGTCTAGACGATATATAGCACATAAAATCTTTTTTTTATAAAAAAAAATAGACAGGTATTATAATCAGATGATTTTATTATATATTGACTCATTTGCTTAAAATTAAAAAATCTTCTCAAGTGCTTTTCAATATTATAAAGAAATATATAAAATTTATAAATAAAATATCATAAATCATAATATAAATTAAGTTTATTAATAATTATATTAAGACATTATTTAAAAAAGTGCTTAAAATAATATTTATTATCAAAAAATCACAAAAACGACTAAAATCCATAATAAAACATAACAATAATTATGATTAAAACTATAATATATAAAAAAGGCACATCGTTACAACTACAAAACTTTCTTCTCATTATGAAGTTCCTTCGTGTGTCTTCTAAGACTCACTTTCTTTGCAAACGACTTCGAACAAATCGCACATTCATAACGATCCCCATCCACATGCACTTTCAAATGTCTATTCAAAAACAACTCCAGGGCAAACCATCGATTACAAATAATACACTCAAACTTCTTATCGTGCAAAGCCAAATGCTTCACCAAAGCAGCTCGTGTTGAATATGTGTTTCCACACACCTCACACTTAAGCCTCGCATAGTAATGTACTAGCTCATGTTTCTCCAACAAGTCTTTTCTGGTAAACTCTCTAAAACAAATTTTGCACTCATGCAACCTGCTCTCGGTGTGCAGAAGCATGTGGAACTCCAAATATTTTTCTAAGGTGAAAAATTTATTACAAACCTTGCACTCGAATTGTTTGGCAGTCGTGTGTGATTTTAAGTGGTTGGATAAAACATACTGGCTCGAAAAGCCTTCATCACAAAGCATGCACTTGAATCGTTTCGTATTGTTGTGGTTCATTTCATGGTAGACGAGTGCTGAGTTGTGTGGGAAGATTTTGAAGCATATTTTGCAGCAAAGGGATGGTTCTTGTTTGACTTCATCGATTGTCACCTCGGATTGAAGGAATCTTTGTAGATAGGTGTTGTCTTGTGATTCTTGTTTTATGTGAATTGAATCAGGGGGAATAGATTGAGGTGTGGATGTTTCCTCTTGGGGTTCTGATTTTATCACCAATTTATTCATATTTATAGATATATACACCACTGCTTAAAGTGCAAAGGAGGTATCTAAATCTTACCATCTGTTTCATGTGTGTACACTTCACACAATAGTAATAAATCACCTTATGCAAACTTTATTGCCATTCAAATTTTAATAAATTTGGTGTCTTCACAATTTCAATTAATAATTGAACGCCATTTTGTAATTTAACAAACTTGAAGTTCAGTCTTGAAAATAAATAAAACCACTTACTATTAAATTAAATCAATGCAATCAAAACACATTTACATGCTTTGCATTTACTTTTTAGTCTTCCACGTTTTAAATTATTTATATAACAATATAAAATTATTATTAAGACAAGGTAACAATCTTACCTAGCATATACATGCACCCAACAAGTCCATTACACTACACTGTAAATATCCACCAAATCAATATATTTTGATGACTAACATAACTAGCTTTATGTTTAAAATATCTTTTCACCCTGCCATGCTTTAATTTATTTAATTTTTATTAAACTACCTTTTCGATTTAAAACTTACTGAACACTAAACGTCAAATAAAACGTGCCGCCATAGATAAAAGAAGAGAAGGGAGTGCCTCGTGTGTTAAAGGTTTGACACGCTGCGGTTATCAAGCACTAGCGCCACGAGTAAGTTAATTTGTAAACTGAATGAAAAGTAAATGTTTGTTTAGTAAAAAATTTAATATTGTTTTATTAATGCTTTATTTAATAGAATATATAAAAAATGAACTAGTTGTATATAGCTTTTTTCCTGCATAAACTGCATAATATATATAAATAATCTATTTCATTAATAAGGGTTGATACTTAGCTATTTTAATAAAATTTTCAACGCTTTTGCACTAATCTGATAATTATAAAAAACTCGCTTAACTAATGGCGATTTATTTAATAAGAAATAATATTTAGTTATTTAGACAAAATTCTTAACTGTTTATTTTGAAAATCTAGTTTTAGCTTTTACAAAAAACTAATCAATGCGATTTGTAATTGTAATAAATTTTAAACAAATTCATAAAATCTATGAGTGTATTAATTTGAGCACAAAGACTTTTTGCAGGATTATATTAATTTAGCATGTTAGTTCAGACCATGATTTTTATCATAATACAAAGTTTCATCAACATCATCAAAATAATTTTCCAACAAGTAATTTTAAATAAAACGACCCATTTGATCTTTGTCAGAAACTATTTAACAATATACAACTATTAAATTTTGAAGAATTTTTGATTTTTCAAAATCGGTTCAGGATTTTTGGCTAAAATCTAGACCAGTCGTTTCTTTGTACCGCGCCACCCCTGTCTTTATAAAAAAAAGTAATTTCGCTATTAGGCAACATCATAACATGTGAAAATATACATGAAAAACTTTTCTTACTTGATTTCCACATTGTTGGTTTGTTTTGGAAAGTAGAATTTAGAAAACAGCTGTAGCCCCCTTGGCACGCCACACAGATTGGAAACATCAGATCTAGATAATTAAACATTTATCTGCTAATTATAAAGAATAGGCTTGGTTGATCGTCAAGTAAAACTAATCAACAAGATTTCTATTCAAGTTTGATGAAAATTTTTGAAATCAGGGCAGTCGTTTTTAGCTCATCACACTCGAACTTTTTCCAATTTCCGTATTAGACGATTCAGAATGACAAACCAGATAATTGAATTCTCTTAACTTGTATAAACTTATTATTTTTTTCCGTCTAGTTATCGTGAAAAAATGACCAGCAGATCCTCTCTCTTCCGTGACCGCCCTCAACATCCACTACAAGAAGCAGTTTGGTGGTGCGAATACGTACTCA